TGAAACCTACTATGTGGAATCAGCCAAGAAAGAGAAAAGAGACTGGAATCACTGCATGCTTCTGATAGTGGATGCGTGAGGAAGATCTTAAGCATCAGACGACAGGACTTCATACCCAACACAGATATATGAGCCAGAGCTAACCAACAGCCAGTGTCTACAATCATACGCAAGCGGCGTTTCATGCAAGAAGATGTCTGCCATCTAGACTTAGGTAATCTTGTCTTTCAATATTGAACAGGTTTTGGGTCAGATAAACTATACCAAGGCATGTGCGTTTGCATGGAACATGGGTCGGAATTAGGACCCCTCCTTGCTGGCAGCCAAGTGCGTCAATAACAGAAAAGGCCCAAATTTGCATATGTAGCAAAAAATAATGGTTCTATCTTTACTGAAATGGCTTAATTTAATTCGTTATCCCTCAAAACATGGGGATAAACACCAAAATTATTCTGATACCATGAGTAGTTACTGAGATATTGACGGAAAACAGATTTTCAGTAATGGCCGCCCTAATTTGCATATTGCCACCCAAATTTGCATATTTAGCAAAAATAATGGTTCTATCTTTACTGAAATGGCTTGATTTAATTCGTTATCCCTCAAAAGATGGGGATAGACACCAAAATTATTCTGATACCATGAGTAGTTCCCGAGATATTGACGAAAACTGGATTTTCAGTAATGGCCACCTTAATTTGCATATTGTGCGAATTGCCCAAGGATGACAGAGTGGCATCATTCAGATTCTGAAAGAGCACACCTCAGAGATATAGAAACAACAAAAAAACTTTGTATGGACCGCATTGCAAGGTTCTTCAAAAATCGGGGGTTTGGCAACCGGACTATCAGCTTTGCCTATGTGTCTGAGACTATGTTACTGGTATTTTATTTCTTCTCACGTTCTTATGTTTTTCTTTCTCTTTCATTGATTACGCTTGTTCTCTTCTATTTTAGCAATTTCCTTGACTCTTTTCCTTCTCCTTTTCTCCCCCCTCCCCTTCGCCTCTGCTTTCTGCTTCTGATTTCTTTTCCCTCCCTCTCCTTGCTATAACTGGTGAACTGTACACAAACTCAAACAATTAAAACAAACATCACAGATCTATTTTGACAGTTTCGATGATGACATATACTAACAATCCATTAGATATGCCACAAACTCAAGATGCACAGCCATTTCAGTTGTCATTTACACATAGCACTGCTCTGTAGGTAGCTTCAGACTTTTTAAAACCTAAAAAAGACGTTTAACTGCCAGTAGAAATCCAACCAAATGCAAACTTGTTATGCAACCAGCTGACCTTTTTACAGTTGTAGTCATCAAAGAAGATGCGTTTGAATGGGCATGACCATTTTTGGTCACCAATGTTGGAATGTTTACGAGAGGAAAATGCTGTCTACGAAAGATCAAAAACATTGTCATATGTAATGGCAGCTACGATGACAGATTAGAAGATGTTGAGGTTTGACAAGGCACTGCATGATGAAAGCAGCAGATTTGTGAGAACTGTAACATTTTCCATGTGGTCTTCTTGATGGCAACAATGCAACTTGCAACAAACTAGTAGTGATTTGTGAAGCGGAGAGTAGTGTGTGTGTCCCAGTTTCCTCAGACCAAAATACTTGTCAGGGTTTATTATTTGATTATGTGGAACAATTTCAATGGTGCTACTGTATGCAATGTTAAGAGGGCTAGGATATTAAGGAAGGAGATGTAGTACTGATGTTGGGAGAAACATTTGGTGGGCGTTGAATTGAAAATTGTACATGAAGGGTTCATAATTAAGAGGGGTTTGGGACCAGATTTAGATATGAGGCAACAGTCTTTTTTTTCCTTTCAAACTACTGGGTGGGTTGCTCCTTCCTGTGTCCTAGCCTTCATTCCAGTAATTGGAAGCTTGGGGAAGAAAGTTTTGGTATTCCTTGAAATCTGAGTCTAGCAAGTAGTGCTAGTAGGGTGAAGAATTAATTAGCAGTTGTAGTGGACCAGCGAGGTTGACATTATGAACAAATGTTGTTCAGAGTTCAGGAGAATAGCCATTGTACTTCCTTGATTTTGTGCAATACCTCAAGTTTGTACCTCAATACCTTCTCCCTATGTACACTGTCTATAGCTACTGTATCTTTACTTCTGTATTTCCAACTTTCTGTTCTACCTTTGGATTCCTTTCCGTGTATTGTATCAGGTGTTAATAAAATTTCCTGTTAGCAACACTGAAAACTGCTTGTCTCCAAGTCTTTTGTGGGAAATCCGGGAGACTGAATTAGTTGTAACCAGAAGCATGTTCTTCTCTCTCCACCGTTCCTGTTTTTGTCCTGGCCCCTTCCCGGCAGGTTTTGGAGGGAAAGACGGTGCATATTGAGAGTGCAGGGAACCTAATTCCGCTGCACAAGTCCGGCGAACAGCTCCACCTCAACTTCTATGCATTCCGCGAGAACCGTCTGCCATTCCTGGTGAAGGTGGGTTTGTGTGGCACAGAGAGTGCCCGTGCTGTTGATGTTAACTTTGTTTATATCTTCACTTCAGTATGTCTTCTGAAAGAAGTACAAGACTTAGTGTGCCAATGTTTTGTAAAAACTGATCACTGAATTAGTTAGCCCAATGTAGCTGTTTGGCACCAAATTTGTATTGGTTACAGAATAAGGCAACAGGGAAAAGGCTAAATCAAAAGAAATTGTATTTTTTTTTACCAAAAGCAAATTATGCCATTGAATGATTGAGTCAATTGTGTACAAATCTACATGTACAAATACAGCAACAGGTAGCAGCCAGATAGACTCTCTAGTTAGACCTCATTGTGACTTTGAGGAAATGAGTCTGACATTGTTCTATTTCTGTAACCTCTATCAAAAAGTGTTACTGAACCTATGTTGTAACAACTTTTTTGTATTTCTTAGTTATCTACATGATCTGTAAAATCTGTATGTAAAGTTCTAGATTTTACAATATGTTTAGACATCTTCAGTTGATTTAAAGTTTACTTAGTTATCTACTACTTTATTTGGGAAGAAAGTTTTGGTGCTCATATTGTATCTATAGTAGTTTTATTTTGAATTCTTTGTATTATTTTGGATTAATGTTAAATGATTTAGTTTTAATGTTCAAACCAGACTTCAGCTAATGCAAAAAGTCTAAACTTACTAGCTAGCTCAAATGCACGGTAGCTCAAATGTACAATGGCTGAAATGTCTAATGTTTTGACACTACTGGCAAAAGTCTGTGTGAATTGCTGTTGAGGTGTAACTACAAGTTTAACAGAATACATATTCTTAATATGTACCTAAAAATTTTATGCAAAGTAATATTTTGTGTAAGAGGCTCTGAAAATTAAAGACATGGTGTATGTAACAGAATTACCTGTCAGTAACTCACGTAGGTTGTATGTTGTTGTATATGGCAGACTACATGGGCTGTAATATGTACATAATATTGATATTGTCAACAACTTGTGCTGTGGTCTATGTGTGTACATGTATCAGGAGGTTAGCTGTGTGGCAGTTGTCAGCATGTTTTGTATTATGACAACAAAGTTGCAGCAGGCAGCAACTAATGTCGCCCTTCCTGGCTTCAAATCATTCACCCTACTAACAACATTCCCTGCACTACCACCTCCCATCCTCATCCAGCCATCTCAGGAGCTGGGCCTGGAAACAGCCATTGCTGATGCCAGCCATGAGGCCAAGTCTTAAGTGAAGAGGAAGAGCAGATCTCAAACCCCAGATGGTGCACACAGCAGCAGCAGTGTCTGTGGATGGCGGCTGGGAAGCAACAACATTAACTTCTGTTTGTGTCTGTTTCAGTTTGAATTGTTGGTGAATGATGCTTGGTGGAAACAGCCAGGAGATGATGCACCCTACATGCTGATTATGTATTGCCATAGATTTGTCATTTGTCTTTCAGTGATAAAGAAAATGCAGAAATAAGCAGACCCAGGAACCCTGGAGTGTAAGCAGCTGAGATAAAGAAAAGTGGAGGCTCCAAGCAAATTTGTGTTATACATATTGCAGTTGCTAGTTTAGAGGTGTTTGATATATGTTGCAAATGTCAAGTCAGCAGTCAAGTCAGCAGTCATCGAAGATGATTTGAAAAGAAATCAAGGGATTCTAATTTAGAACATTGAGAACAACACCAGCATTGTGATCAAATGAATTTCTATCATTTTGAGACATCATGTCGTGGTAAACTTGAAGATGAAATAAGGACAGCTCCCAAATGTTATTGGTTGATTTTGCAAAAATTGCCCCATCACTCTGGCTTATCACTTAAGTGCTAAGAGCCACAGAGGGTGAGGCATTTTTGCAGCATTCTTCAGTTGTTTTAATGTTTGAAATGATGTCCAACTGATATTGTGTGTATTCATGTTATCAAAGATTGTACTGATCCTTTATCCTCTTCTCCATGATGGTTAGATGTCTGTTTCCCTCACATTGTGTTCTGATCTGGTACACTTTTCTCCGCAGGTCAAAGACAGCAGCCAAGAACCAACAGGGCGGCTGTCCTTCATGCCCGAGCCTAAGACAGCCAAGAGCATCCCCCCTCCTCCTGCCATCTGTAACTTGAATGTTACATTGCCTGAGCATAAGAGGGTAGGTTCTGTGTACATTGTAATTGCATCCCAGAACATGTTTGTTGCAGATGACAGCCAATATTTTACAAGGATGATTGAATGAGGAAAAGATTTGCTTGTATTGCAGATTGCGAAATTTTGATATTGTCTTGAACATTTGAGAAGTACTTGGCCTGCAGTTGATATGAAGCAATTTGTGTGAAGCTTTTAAATGATTGTACATGTTTGTGTAGTGTTTGTCGTGGCTTGGAACACATCATTCCCAAACAATCCAAACAGCAAAGTGAAAAACTCAAATGAGGGTTACATTCAAAATTTGTTACAAATGTTCTTTTGATATCAGTGAGAATTGTTTGGGGATGAATTTTGTTCCAGTTTGTGCATGATTATTGTCAAGCTATGTCTCACATCCTTGCAAACTGATGTGCAAGAACTGTTCCTTCAGAATATTTCCTCCTTTTCCCCTTTTCCTCTGATGTGTAGTTTCCATCCTTAATTCAGGCCGTCCAATGTTTTTGTGTTGTTTGTTGTGTAGGCACAGGCAGAGACCCCCAGTTATGACTATGAGGCCATTCAAATGACCCTTGCCAATCCTGGCGAAACGGAAACTGTATTATAACCCCTGTAGAGTAGTTGGGGTGGGTGCTTTGGGGCTTAGCTACAGGTGTAGGTACCTGAATTAATGGTTGGCATTTGTTTTCCCCTGCTTATGCCCCTTCTGCCAACTTGTCCCGAGTCTTAGAACTTCTTCTTCTCTTTCTCTCTCTCCTTCTATCTGGGGTCTGGTGTGTTGTATTCCCATTGTATATAATTATAACAAGTGGTGTGGAAATTCAAACTTCCATTCATGAGGCATTGCCATTCTTCCTCCATCCCTGTCTCATTCCATCCCTTGCTCCCGCTCACATTGCATGCCGACGTCCAGGATTCGTTAGACCTAGATGCCTTAGAGGTAAGCCAACATGGAACCAGTCATGTGTTCTTTCTCCAGGCTGTTCATTTTTCATGTGGATTTGGAAGTTTTGTTCTGTAAATATCTTGTGTCCCGTGTGGTCTATGGTTACTGTCTTATTACTCTTAAGTTGAAATTTCGATTTGACAGAATTATGTCTTAAGCCAAGATTTAGAAGCTGGTTTTCCATGTCTGCATATGGACAGTGAACAGTTCTGTTGGAGTGTGAAGGTTCTATGCATGCCATTTATAGTGGAGTTGTGGCTGGTAGTAGATAGTCATGGCTGTTAGTATGTTGTTGCTTTCAAGGTGAATGTTTGCATGTGTTTTTTTTCTTTTCTGAAGCATGCTGTGTTGTGATACTTTCATTGTTATATGTTATATTATATATTATATATTATATTCTTCCCTCTTATTTTGTCTGTGTTCATGTTTATATATACCGAACATTTACATATAAAGTAGTCATAGACTTGGATAGATATCATGTATTGAACAATCATGCCAGAAATCCTTTGGCACTCAACCCAAAACATGTGGTCATCACATCAACCAGTACCAACATCATTCTATTCTACATAGAAAAAACACTAGTGATCAAAAACATTTATGGAAACTTCTGAGTCATTTTCTTCCACATACCATTAAAAAATTGGTGGACTTAACTAAAATTCTGTAATCTTAGTTGATCAAGTAAGTGTAGAGTTTAATGTCATGTTGTTACTGTCCAGCCCATCCAGGTGGTAGATGCTAAGGTGCAAGAAGAAGTTGAGAGAACCATCGCTGAAGCTGAACGAGCAGGTGAGTTAATAACATTACTGTGTTGACTGTCCCCAAAAAAGTGAAACACTACATTGCTAATATCTTGGCCCTGGATAATTTATATATAATATGCAAATTTGATTCCCCTGTAATGTTGTTTAAGTTTTACATGATACATACCTATGCTAAAAGACAGAGCTTATGAGCACACTTCTTTTGTGATGTTAACTTCAGGTCAAGCAGACAGGAAAGAAGGGGTCCCCTCACCAGTCAAAGAAACAGAAGTCGTAACACTTGAGACCGTCACAGTCACAAACCTCCTGAAAGAGGCACCCAGTCCTCCAGAAGAAACAATAGTGACTGTGGCATCGCCCGAGAGAGAAGCCCCAGACCTGGTGGAGGAACCCAAGACAGACGTGAACCTTGATGAGGTTGTGGAGTATGTGCAGAAGATGGAAGTCGGAGAGAAGGAAGAGAAGAAGGAGGAGGACTTGTCAGAGGAGCAAATCAGTGACATTGTGGACCAATTCATGACCAGCAACAGGCAGTCTGGTGCAGACTTCTTCCAGGCTCTGGAAGAGGAAGATAAGCCTGTTGTTGAGGAACCGCCCCGAGAAGTACCAACTGAAGAGATGCTCCACGTCGATGCCAGCAGGAGTTCCAGCGTCTTCGCAGAGCCGCCTACTCCAGACAGGACCACCAGCTTTGACACCACATCAGACGTGACGCCCGCAAAGTCACCAGAGGAGGAGGAGGCTCCTCCCGTCGCTGAGGTCAGCATCAACGCAGTTGAGTCACCGCCAGCGTCGCCCATCTCAGACGGCCCAGTGGAGGAGGTGCCGGAGGTGACCCCGCCCCAGGTGGTGTCTCCAGAAGCACCGGAGCCGTACACACAGATCACCGAGGAGGTGGGGCCCATCTCCGAACACATCACCGTCACAACAGAGGTGGGACCCGAGGGAGAGGTGAAGACCATCACCACAACCCAGAGGCGTGAGGAGAAGGTCATCGTGGAAACCGTCGGAGAGGTATCCCCCGAGAAACCTGCAACTGCTGATGAGCCATCGTTAGGTTGGGTTGAAGGAGGGAGGTTGAGGTTGTTAGAAGGCGGGAGAAAGCCCCCTCTCCAGAGGGATCCCCAGAAAGGCTTACTGAAAAAAGGATTAGTCGTGAGGTTGAAACCTTCCTAAAGCGTACTAGTTTTCAGGAGTTTGAGGATGAGCCTTTGGTCATTCCTGGTGTAGATGTGCCAGCTGACGCTGGAGCTGAAACAAAGCCCGAAATTGCCCCCACTGACACCCAACCTGCAGCATCCGTAGAAGTTAGCAGAGTGGAAGAAAGTAGAAAGGTAGAAGTAGATGCGGGTGAACTTACTCCCTCTGAACAGGTAACACCACAAAAGGAGTTGCCTTCAGAAGTAATGGTAGAGAAACAAGAGGGTGAAGTAACACCAACCCCTGCAGAACCCCCAATGCTAACACCGACTAAAAAGCTCCCAGTGACTGATCAGGTTGAGATTACGGAAGAGATAACAGTCAAGGCAACAACAGTAGAACCAACCGACAAGACTGTTCCTGATAATCAGTTGGCTGAAAAGGTTGAGGAAGTCAAGGAGGTAATTAGGGAACCAGAGGTAACACCAACAGAGGTACCATCAGAAGTGCCAGTAAGTCAAAGGGTTGAGGAAGTCCTAGTTGAGGGTGAGACAGTCATACTCAGAGAGAAGCCAAAAACAGAGGAGCCAGGATCTCCTGATCGCTTGACTGAAAAGAGGATAAGTCGTGAGATAGAAACCTTTTTGAAGCGCACTAGCTTTCAGGAATTTGAAGACGAGCCCCTGGTTATACCTGGTTTAGATGAGCCAGCTGGAGACGAAGCTAAATCGAAACCTGAAATTGTCCCCACTGAGGTAGTAGCACCTCCTGAGCCTAAAGAAAGTGTGGAAGGTAGGGAAACAACTGAGGAACTTCCTCAGGTAACTCAAGAACTTAAGGAGGTAAGCAAGCCCATTGATGAAACACCTAAAGCAACACCAACAGAAGGGCTACCAATTGAAAATCTCATCGATGAGCAGGTTGTTGAAGTTAGGGAGGATGTTGTACAGCAAAGTCTACCAGTGGTTGCCCCTGTCGAGGAAGAACAACCAGGGCCAGCTCAACCAGCTGAAGGAAAAGAACTAGATGAGGTAAAAACTGAAGACCTCGTGGCTAAACAAGTCGAGGAAGTTAGGGAGGATGTTAAAGTGGCTCAACCTGGTCCTGCAGTGCCTGAACAAGTAACACCAGCTAGTAAAGAAGTTATTGAAGTTGAGGAGCCTGTGAAATTAAGAGAGAAACCCCAAACCGTAGGGTCTCCAGAACTGACTGAGAAAAGAATCAGTCGTGAGGTAGAGACATTTTTAAAACGCACCAGTTTTCAAGAATTTGAAGATGAACCCCTAGTCATTCCTGGTGTGGATGATGTAACCATAAGTGGAGCTGAAGCTAAAGTTGAAACTGCCCCTGAAGAAGTGAAGGTTGTTGCACCTGAACCACCTGTGCAAAAAGTAGAGGAGCCCAGTGAAAACATCTTGGTTCCTGGGGAGGCTAAAGAAATTGTAGAGCCCACCCCACCAGAGCCTGTTAAAGAGACAGTGTCAAAAGAAATTGTAGAGCCCACCCTACCAGAACCTATTAAAGAGACAGTTTCAAAGGAGGAGATAAAAACAGAGGTGGTAAAAGATGTCAAAGAACCTGAGGTAGATGTTAAAGTGAAAGAAATTCCCCAAGAAGAGCCAGCAGTGACTGAGCCTGTAATAACAAAAGAAGTGAAGGAAGAGGTGGTTAGCAAACCTGAACCTGAAATTGAGGTTGTTCAGCTCAGAGAGAAACGCAAAACTGCTGAGTCTCCAGAAGGCTTGACTGAAAAACGTATAAGTCGGGAGGTGGAAACATTTCTGAAACGTACAAGTTTCCAAGAGTTTGAGGATGAACCTCTGGTTATTCCTGGTTTAGACCAACCAGAAGATAAAGTTGAAAGTAAGCCTGAAATTTCAGTGCCCACTCCAAAAGCTGATTTGGAAGTCCAGCCTGAAGCTGTGTCTCCTCCTGTAACTCAACCTGATGTAGACAGAAAAGAGACAGTACAAGTACAGCCAATCCCAGCTGACAGTAAAGTAGTACATGTTGTAGAACCTAAGGAAACAGTGGAAGAAACAGTTACAGAAGAGCAGATAGTTACTGACGATGGTGTGGTAACTAGAATAGTCAAAACAACTAGAACAGAGGTAGTTACAGGAAGTAGTACTGTTGTAGAAGAGAAGCCCATAGTCATTGAGAAGTCTGTATCAGATAAGCCCACAGTATCTGAGGGCGAGGTAGGTATTGTTGTTAAGCCCTCTGAGGAACAACCACAGGTGCCGCAGGCAGAAGTTCCAGCAGGAGTCGCCCCTCCAGGAGAAGAGGAGAGAGTCATTCTCAGACAAAAACCTGACAAAGATTCCCCACTCACCGAGAAAAGAATCAGCACGGAAATTGAGCAATTCTTCAAGCGTACGAGCTTCGTGGAATTCGAGCCTGAAGAGCCAGTAGTGTCAGCAGAAGAAGTTCCAGGTGTTTCAGCAGTGACACCAACAGAACCTGTAGATAAGGAGCAGGTCAGTGAAGTCCGAGCTCATGCTGAACCCGAAGAAGAAGCCATAGTGCCAGCTATAGTTGAGGCAGAAAAGATGTTAGGAAGACCATTGTCTTCTGATGAAAAGGCCACCATCCTGCAAGCAGCTCATGCAACAAAAAGACCACTGTCAATTGACGAAGTAAAAACACTTGTTGAAACAGTAGACAACTTTGGTCGCCCCCTTACACCAGATGAAACAGGAAAGGTGCTGGAAGCTATTAAAGTAGCAGAAAGATCATTGCAGCCAGAGGAATGTTCAGCAGTCCTTCAGGGTGCCAGAACAGCAGACAGACCCTTAACCCCAGATGAGATTTCTGCCATTGTTGGGGCATACGATGTAGTGAAAAGGCCCCTATTTGATAGTGAAATTTCAACCATACTTCAAGCAGTAAAAGCTGCAGAAAGACCACTAACACAAGACGAAGTGGCAGCTATTGTGGAAGCCACAAAGACAGTGGATAGACGGCTGTCTCCAGATGAAACCAAGACCATCCTTGAAGCAGCAAAACAAACAAAGAGAACTCTGACCAGAGATGAAACTGCCTCACTCTTGGCAGCAACAGAAGCATCATCTGGACCATTGACACCATCTGGCGTCAAAGCTATCATTGATGCAGCAAATGCTGCAGGCAGGCCACTTACCCCTGAAGAAGCAACATCAATATTGAAAGCTGCAGAAGGTTTAGGCAGGCCCCTTACACCAAAGGAGACAAACGCCCTTCTTCAGGCTGTCAACTCAACAGGGAGGCCATTGACTCAAGAGGAAGCAACTTCTTTGGTTGATAGTACGAAAGTTATTCAAAGACCACTGAGTACTGGAGAAATGACTACACTTCTTAATGCAAGTAAAACTGCAGGTCGACCTCTGAAACCAGAGGAAATCAGCACTCTGTTGGAGGCTGCCAAAGTGGCCGAGAAACCTCTAACACCAGCCCAGGCAGCAGCAATCCTTGATGCTACTCACTTTGTTGGTAGACCATTAAAGCCAGAAGAAACACAGGCGATATTCGAGGCTGCAAGAGTAGCTGGCCAGCCACTGAGTGCTGATGATGCTGCAGCTATCATGGAAGGTGCAGAGCAGACAGGAAGGGTGTTACACCCCGAGGAAGCCGCTTCCCTGCTCCAGGGTGTGAAGCTGTCAGGAAGACCACTGACTATTGATGAGGTGGCAGCACTGCTGGAGGCAGCAAAGTGTGCAGGGCGACCGCTCACTCCTGAGGAAGTGGCAAGTATCCTTGACGCCGTGAAAATGACAGAAAGGCCTCTGAATACCAATGAGACAGCAGCAATACTTGAGTCCACCCGTGTCATTGGGAGTAGACTCATGCCAAATGAAACTGCCACAGCCCTGGAGGCTGCCAGGATAGCTGATCGACCTCTCAGGCCAGATGAAACAGCAACTGTTCTTGATGCAACAAGGAACCAGGGAAGACCGCTGTCTCGTGGGGAAACTGTTGCCCTTCTTGAGGCAGTGAAGTCCACTGGAAGACCTTTAACACCAGAAGAGACAGCTGCAATCCTGGAAGCTGTGAAATCATCAGAGAAGCCACTTTCACCCCATGAAACAACAAGTATTCTTGCTGCAGCAAAGATTGCAAGGAGGACACTTACACATGATGAGACTGCTTCACTTCTTGAAGCTATGAAAGCAACAGGAAGGCCACTGACTCCAGTTGAAACAGCTGCTATTCTTAATGCCACAAGGGCAAAAGCAGGACCTTTGTCACCTGAGGAGACTGTTACTGTCCTGAATGCCTCAAAAACCCTTGGCAGACCCCTTACACCAAATGAGAATGCAGCCATACTTCAAGGTATCAAAGACACTGGAAGAGCACTCAATGCTGAAGAAATAGCTGCAGTGTTAAATGCTGCTAAGACAGCTGGAAGAACACTGGCTCCTGAGGAAGTTACAGCAATCGTTGCCCCACAGAAACTCAAAGAAAGTGTTGTCCTGCGAGAGAAAAAGTCACCTATCACAGAAAAGAGAATCAGTCAAGAAGTAGAACAGTTCCTGAAGAGAACCAGTTTTGCTGAAATGGAGGATGAACCAGTTGTCTTAGAACAAGCTGCTGCAGAGGACAAAGCTGCTCCTCCCGGTGTCATTGAAAAAGCTGAAGTAGAAACAACAAGAGAAGTCAAACCAGTCCCTTCAGCTGACCAAGCAGCTGTTGATGCTTTAGCAAAGGAAATTGGAAAGGATCTTTCAGATATTGAAGCCAAGACCCTGGCCACTGCCATCCAGAAAATGCAGAGACCACTGACAGTGGAAGAAGCACAAAAGCTGATTGATTCTACAAATGCAGTGGGTAGACCACTCACACCCAATGAAATCGTTGCCATAGTTGACACAGCAGGTGCTGCAGGTAAACCGCTGACTCCAGAGGAAACGAAAGCTCTGTTTGAAGCAGCCAAGAAGACTGGAAGAAAATTGTCAAATGAGGAGGCCGTTGTACTTCTGCAGAGTGCTAAAACAGCAGGAAGGCCTCTGACTCCTGATGACACTGAAACAGTTATCGAAGCAGCCAACCAACTTGGGAGGGTTTTAACCCCTGACGAGAATGCAGCTCTTCTTAGTGCTGTACAATCAAAGGGAAGAATACTCACACCTGAGGAAATTACTGCTATCCTGGATGCCGTAAAAGCTGCTGGAAGACCATTGACTCCTGAAGAAGTAGCAGCTGCCCTGGACAAAGCGGAAACGCCACTCTCTCCAGAAGATGAGGCTGCTGTCCTTGAGTCTGCCAGAGCCATGGGCCGTCCCCTGTCACCAGATGAAACTTCTGCTGTCATCGAGGCAGCCAAAGCAGCTGGAAGACCTCTCACTTCAGAGGAGACAGTAGCTATTCTTGAGGCCACTGAAACACTAGGCAGACCCTTGACACCAGAAGAAGCAGCAGCAGTTCTTGCAGCTACAAAGGCAGTAGGACGACCTCTGTCCCCCAAGGAAACATCTGCACTGCTGAGTGCAGCACAAGTGGCAGGGAGACCGTTGACACCTGAAGAGGTCGCAGCTGTCCTTGCAGCCCAGAAAGTATCTTCAAGTCCACTGACATCAGAAGAAATAGCAGCAATATTTGACGCAGGTAAGTCAGCAGGAAGGCCGCTAACAAGTGAAGAGACTGCTGACATCTTAACAGCTGCCAAAACAGTAGGTCGGCCATTGACAGAGAATGAAACAGCATCAATTCTCACAGCTTCTGAAATAGCTTCACCATTAACACCAGAAGATATTTCTACCATTGTTGCTGCCTCAAAACAGGCTGGCAGGCCGCTAACAGCAGACGAGATTCTTGCAGTACTCGATGCAGCAAATGCAGCAGGACGACCATTGACAGCAGAAGAAACTGCAAAAGCCATTGCAGCTGTGCAGCCTGGTGAAATGGAAGTCTTGTCAACAGAAATACAAGAAGCTGCAGGAGGAGTACTAAGTGAGAGAGATTTGGCTGTTGCTCAAGCAGCTAATGCTGTTGGAAGACCTTTGAGCTCAGAGGAGACAGCTGCTGTCCTTGAAGTCACCGGAGCTGTTGGAAGACCCTTGAGCCCTTCTGAGTCAACAGACGTCATAAATGCTGTCAAACTAGGAGGGGGACAGTTATCCCCAGAGGAAGCTACATCTGTTCTTGAAGCGTCACGACAATCTTCACCTTTGTCAGACGCAGAAATTGCTGCAATCCTAGCAGCTACTAAGGAAGCAGGTAGGCCTCTGGAACCCCATGAGGTAGCAGCTCTTCTTAAGGCAAGTAAAGAGGCAGGCCAACCATTTACACCAGATGAGATCTCTGCTGTTCTGAAGAAGGCAAGAGCTGCAAGGCCTTTGACTCCACAAGAGGCTGTATCTGTAGCTGAAGCCTCACGACAAGCTGGTCGCCCCTTAACATCAGAGGAGGCAGCCAGCATTGCTGATGCAGCTACTGCAATCGGGAGACCACTATCACCTGATGAAACTGCCGCCATTCTTGAAGCAGCAAAGGCAGCAGACAGACCACTGACACCTGAAGAAGCCTCTGCTGTTATGAAAGCAGCAAATACAGCTGGCAGACCTCTTAGTCCAGCAGAGACCGCAGGATTCCTGAAGGCTGCCTCGTGTGTTCCCAGAGAACTTACATCTGATGAGGCTAAATCCATTCTTGATGCAACAAAAGTAGCTGGAAAGGAGTTAACATCTGATGAGGTGAAGTCAGTGCTTGCTGCATGTGACTCAGCCCACAGGCCGTTGAATGAAGAAGAAATAGACATGGTCCTCAACGCCACAAGAGAACTGGAAAGACCCTTAACACCTGAAGAAGCTGATATTCTGCTACGTTACTCCAAGGAAGCAGGGCGGCCATTGACAGGTCCTGAGGCAGCTGCCATACTTGCCAAGGCAAAAGAAGGACCCCTCAGTCCACAACAAATACAGGAAGCCCTAAATGATGTAGCCGCACAAGGAGCTGCAGATGTTATCGGCAGACCTTTGACAGCTGATGAAAGAACAGCTCTTGAAGAGGCCAATAAAGTGGCAGGAAGGCCCCTTTCTCCAGAGGAGTCAGCTGCTGTTGTAGAAGCCGCAAAAACAGCTGGACGTCCACTGTCGTCAGATGAAGCAGCGGCTATATTGGATGCAGCACACAGTGTTGGAAGACCTTTGACTCCAGAAGAGACTGCAGCCATTCTGCATGCATCAGCAACAGCTGGAAAACCTCTAACACCAAGTGAAGTAGCTGCAGTCCTTGAAGCAAGTAAAGTTGCTGGAAGACCATTGACAGGAGAAGAAGCATCTGCCATCCTTGAAGCTGCAAAGGCAGCAGGGAGACCACTCACTCCAGAGGAAGCTGCAGCTGTTTTAGATGCTATGAAGTCAGCAGGAAAACCACTGAGTCCTGATGAGACATCATCTGTCATCAACATAGCAAAAGCAATGGGCAGGCCACTGAGCCCCAAGGAAACTGAAGCTATCCTAGAGGCAACAAAGGCAGCAGGAAAACCGCTAACTCCTCAGGAAGCCACAAACATCTTGAATGCTGTGGCAGCAGTTGGGAGACCACTGACCCCAGAAGAAACTGCAGCTCTCTTGAAAGCAGCAAAAAGTGCTGGAAGGCCATTATCACCAGATGAGGCTGCAAGCCTGCTAGAAGCCCTGAAGGAGGCTGAGAGACCGCTCTCAGATGATGAGGTGTCATCTATTTTGGAGGCGACAGCAGCTGCAGGACAACCGCTAACTGGTGATGAAATGGCATCAGTTCTTAGAGCAGCTAGGGCTGCTGGAAGGCCTTTGTCTCCAGAAGAAGCCAAATCCATCCTGGATGCAACCAGAGTGGCTGGACGCCCTCTCACACCCAATGAAACAGATGCAATTCTTCAAGCTACAAAGTCAGCTGGTAGGCCGTTGAGTCCAGATGAAGCAGCTACAATTTTGGAAGCTACCAAATCATCTGGAAGGCCTCTTACCTCTGACGAATCATCAATGCTACTTGAGGCTGTTAAAGCTGAAGGTCAGAGTCTATCCAGTGACCAAATTGCTAATATCCTGAATGCTAAAAACATATCGGGACAGACCTTAACACCAGATGAGACGGTCTCTTTGCTAGCTGCTTCCAAAGAACAAGAAGGTGCACTTACACCATCTGCAATCAGTGGGGTTCTGCTGGCTTCTAAAGAAGCAGGACGACCATTGACACTTGCAGAGATAGCACAACTTTCTGTAGCAGAGGAACAGGAGCCTGTCACCCCAGAGGCAGTTGCCAAGGTTCTTCAGCCAGAGATAAGACAGGAGCCTGAAATAACACCAGATGATAAGCAAAAAGCAGAGGACGCTGCGGAAAGGACTCTTTCTCCAGAAGAGGTTGGAGCAGTCAGTGCATCGGCTAAGTCAGCAGGAAGGGATTTATCTCCTGATGAAGCTAATGCTGTCATTGAAGCAGCCAAGGTCACCAACAAGCCATTGACACCAAATGAAACTGTTGCTGTGCTAGGAACTGTGCAAACAGTTGGCAGACCACTTTCGCCAGACGAAGTTGCAGCGATTGTTGTTGCCACACAAACAGCAGGCAGACAACTAACGCCTGATGAGATGGCTTCCTTGCTTGATGCAGCAAAAGCCTCAGACCACCCGCTCACTCCACAAGAAACTGCTGCCATTCTCCAGGCTACAAAGACAAGAAAAGAGTCTTTGACTCCTGATGAAGTAGTGGCTGTTCTGGATGTAACAAAAGCTGAAGAAAAAGAAGTATCACCAGAAACCGTTTCAGCGGTTGTTGAGGTAACTAAGATAGCTGGAAGGCCACCAGTAAAAGAGGAGGTTGAAGCTATTAAAGAGGCTGTTCAGTCAACACCAGGAGCACCACTAAGTCTGAAAGATCTTGCCCAACTAGTGGATCCATCTAAGCCAGCAGAAAAGCCAGCTGTCAAGAAGGATGATGTTAATGAAGCAGCGGCTGTGGCAGGACGAGAAGTTAGCTCTGAGGAAGCAACAACACTCATTGGTGCAGCCAAACTAGCTGGCAGACCTTTGTCCTCTGAAGAGGCTACGACAGTTCTTAACGGTGTACAGAGCCTTGGTAGACAGCTCACACCCAATGAAACTAACAACCTTCTTGATGCAAGCAAGATCGTTGGAAGATCATTAACACCTGAGGAAGCAAGTGCTATTCTTGACTCAGCAAAGGTCATTGGAAGACCCCTTACTCCAGGTGAAATTGCCACCATCCTCAATGCCTCAAAATTAGCTGGAAAGCCACTTACACCAAATGAAGTAAAATCACTGTTGGATGCTAAAAACGTGGCTAATCGCCAACTTACACCAGATGAAGTACAAGCTACTCTTGAAGCAGTGAAAGCAGCTGAAAGACCATTGAAACCTGAAGAGATTGCTTCCATTTTTGAAGCATCAAATGTAGCTGGTCGACCAGTAGTCTCTCAAGAAGCCAAAAAGATCTTGAGTAAGGTGGAAGAAAGTGGGAAACCATTGACAACAGAAGAAGCTTCCCTTACTGTACAACCACAAAAGGAGATTCCTGTGCCAGAAGAAGTTAGCACAGAAAAGGTGGCCCAATTGCAGGAGGTTCTAGGCAAGCCTCTTTCTCTCAAAGATGCTGCTGCCATAACTGTTGCCCAGAAAGTTTCAGAACAAGACCTCACTCCAGATGAGATGAGCACAGTACACCAAGTCTCCATCACCACAGAGCAGCCTTTAACTCCAAATGAGACAAAAGCACTCATTTCTGCAACAAAGTCTAGCAGACAAAGCCTCTCTCCTGATGAGGCAGCGACAATTCTTGAGGCAACAAAAACAGCAGGAAGGCCTCTTACCCCTGATGAAGTGAATGGTCTCATTGAAGCTGTTAAGAGAACAGGAGGAAAACTTTCCCCTGAAGAAACAGCAGCACTTCTTGAAGCAAGGAAATCAGCAGGAAAGCCTTTGACACCCGATGAAACTGTTGCAATTCTTAAAGCTTGCAAGACAGCAGGGAAACAGTTGTCTCCAGATGATGTTTCAACTATTCTGCAGACAACGAGGGTAGCTGGCCGACCTACAGCACCCGCAGAGGTCACAAAGCTACTTTATGCTGTTGAAAAAGAGGAAAAGCCTCTTACTCTGGAGCAAGTAGAGGAATTTGTTGAACCTCCAATTACAATTGTAAGAGTTGTACCTGATGTTTCTCCATCAGACATGAACGAGGCAGCTGCACTTCTGGGAAGAAAACCAAGCAGGGAGGAAGCAGCTGCTTGCAGGGAAGCTAAAGAATCAGCAGGAAGGCCTCTTTCCTCAGAGGAAGCATCAACCGTAGTAACAGCAGCTAAGACCACAGGCCAACCCCTCACACCAAATGAAACAGAAACAGTACTTGATGCTGTCAAGTCTTCAGGAAGGCAACTAACACCAGAGGAGACAGGGTCAATGTTGGAGTCAGCAAAAACTGTTGGAAGGCCTCTAGTACCAGATGAAACTGCAAGTATTTTGGAGGCTTCAAAAACCACCAAGAAACCTTTAAGCCCAATGCAGGCAAGCTCTATACTTTCTGCTGTAAAACAGGCAGGCAGACCTGTATCCGTGGATGAAGCAGCGGCTACCATCAAAGCTGTTGAGGAGACTGGAAGACCACTGAAACCTGAAGAATGTGCTAAGCTTCTTGAGGCAGAAAAGCCTGAAGAAGAAGTCAAAGTTGCCCCAGAATCCATCAAAGAAGCAAGTGAACTTGTTGAGAGGACAGTAACACCAAAAGAGGCTGCCACAATTGAGCAAGCAGCAAGAGTATCTGCCAAGCCTTTGTCTTCAGAGGAGGCACAAGCAGTCTTAGAGGCAGGAAAAGTGACCAAGAAGTCTCTAACACCAAATGAGGCTTCTGCGATGCTTTCTGCTGTAAGAAGTCTGGGCAGAGTGCCCAAAGCTGAGGAGGCAGCATCCATCATTGAAAGCACCAAGGTAGCTGGAAAACCACTGTCCCCTGATGAAACAACAACAGTACTGGAAACCACCAAGATAGCAGGGAAACCTTTAACAACAGATGAGTCCAGCTCAATTCTTGAAGCAACAAAGGTGACAGGAACAACATTACCACCAGACCAAACTGTGTCACTTTTGGGTGCTGTAAAATCATCAGGAAAGTCCCTAACGCCAAATGAAGCATCAGCAGTAATAGATGGCACTAATACAGTAGGCAAGCCACTATCTCCCAACCAAGTGGCAACAGTTCTAACTGCAGCTAAAACATCAGAAAGGCAACTGCGTCCAGATGACACAAAAGCTGTTCTTGAGGGTTGCAGAGTAATCGAAAGGCCATTAACAGCTGATGAAACTGTTGCTGTACTCGATGCTGCAAAAACATCAGAAGAACCCTTGACAACAAATCAGACCAGTGGCATTCTTGAAGCGACAAAGGTAACAGGAAGACCTCTGACACCCAATGAAACAGTTGCCATACTTTCTGTAGCAAAGTCATCTGATGAGCCTTTGACACCTAATGCAGTATCCTCTGTCATTCAAGCAACAAATATTGCAGGAAGGCCTCTATCACCAGATGAAACAGCTGCCCTACTGGAAGCTACAAAAGCAGCAGGGAGGACATTAAGTCCAGAGGAAATCAACAATATTCTGCATCCCACTAAACCAGAAGAGAAAGTAGAGGTTGCACCAAGTATGGTTGAACATGCTGAAAAAATTGCTGGGAGACCTGTGTCTCCAGAGGAGGCCACAGCATTGAAAGATGCATTAAAGTCTGCTGGACGACCTTTGACACCGAATGAGGCATCGTCTATGTTAGATGCCCGAGGAGTTGTGGGAAGAGAGCTCACTCCAAATGAAACAGCAGGAGTACTTAATGCAGTCAAGATTTCAGGAAGACAGCTCAAGCCAGATGAGACATCTGCACTCATAGAAACCTCAAGAATTGTAGGAAGACCGCTGACGCCAGATGAAACCTTGGTAATCCTTGATGCCACAAAGGCAGCTGAGGGACCGCTGACTGAAGAGCAGATATCAGGCATTTTGAATGCTGCAAAGTCACTCGGTCGACCTCTTACTAAGGAGGAAACTAAGGCTATCCTTAATGCCGCAAAAGTGGCAGGGAGGCCTCTCAGTCCGACAGAAACCTCAGCTCTTCTTCAGGCTATCCAAGTGGCCGAGCGAACCACCAAAGCAGCAGGAAGGCCTCTGGCTCCCATGGAAGCTGTAACATTACGTGAAGCCATGAAGGCACTTGGCAGAGAACTCACACCTGAAGAAATAGTTGCAATCCTTGACACAATGAAGGAAAAGGGCAGACCCCTTTCTCCTGAAGAGATGGAAAGCATTGTTGGGCAGCCAGTTACCATTGCATTGACCAAAGATGAACAGGCAAGGGTAGCTGCAGTTGCAAAAGCAGCAGGGAGAGAATTCTCCCCAGAAGAGGCTGCTTCAATTGCAGCTGTGTCTGATGCTGCAGGACGGGAACTGACACCTGAAGAAGCAGGTGCAGTTGCTGCCATTGCAGCAGCTGTTGCAGCTGGAATGTTGACACCTGAAGAGGCTGCAGCAGTTCTGAATGCTGCACGAGCTGCTGGACGAACCCTTTCCCCACAAGAAATCGGAGCTCTGGTCAGAGCCACAAAGGCAGGTGGAAGAGCACTCACTCCTCAAGAATCAGCAGAGATTGCCAGAACCGCAAAGGAACTGGATAGAGACTTGACACCAGAGGAAATCCAAGCCATTCTCTCTGGGAAGGAAGTCGTACCATCTGTTGTTGTAGAGGGTGCAGAACCCGAGATGAAGATCACTGTACAGGCAGCTGCTGTACCACTACTGGCTGAACAGGCACCAGCCTCATCTGATGAGATGTTACACAAGGAAGTGGAGGTCATCACCACAAAGAAGCCCAAACCCAAACGCAGAAGATGGCCAAAAGTGTATGTTGATACCAGCGAACCTTTGGAAGAAGAGAGTGGGGAATTCTTTGTCAAGGTTTACGAGGAAGATGAGGCGGCGACTCTTCGTGTGACAGAAGAGGTGCGCTCTGTGTCCCCCATTCCTCCTGAAATGGAACGGGTAGACCCCGTTTTAGAAATCGAAGCCAAGACCAGCGTGGCTTCTAAGGTGATCAAGAGATCGGTCCTCAGAGAAGAAGATGGTGAAACCAAAGTGATCGAAGAGGTAAAGTTTTCGTCTAGTGAAGATCCAGAGTGGGGAGTCATGGTGGAAGCACCAGGTTGGGAAGAAATGGAACAAGAGTGGGAAGGAATGCCAGAAGCATCTGCACGGCCTAGAGTCTTCAGGCTGATTGAGCAACCTGTGGTAATGGGTGCCAGCAGCCAACCGCAGGTAGACTTTGTGATGTGACACACCACTGCATGTTACCACCATCGTGTTCTGTCTGCTGGATAATGCATGTCAGCTGCTTTCCAAGTCTTGTATTGACCTTGAAGTAGGCAGCCATGTTGATGGCCTGCATGATGTGTTCCACTGAAGCTTGTCTCTCAGACTGTTGCAGCACTGTAGGAAGGTCAGCACTGGAACACGCTTGTGTGGGAGACTCCTCTTGTTACACATGCAGCAGACCGCATCTATGTGTGTGGAGGATACATGCTTACGCCAAGTGCCATCTACAGTGTTCAGTCATCTGTGATGTCCTGGAATTGTTCTTGGTGTACCTGTTCTCCAGTATCTGCGTCTCCATGGAAAGCATGGACAATGTGGTCTTCAACATGTTCCCTGTGGGCTTCTCCATGCTAGTTGCATTTAGAGAGTAGTTAAAAACCCCATTGTAGAAAACCATTAGTTATTGCAACCACCTCCAAGTCAATGAAATGTTTTGAAAGAATGTAGACTTGATTACAAAGTCTTGCATGATGTAAAACATTTTTAACTGTAACACTAAATAACTAACAGCTACTCATCATTATGACATGGGATTGTCACAGTGTCACCCTCCCCAACACCTAACAGTGGCTCAATGGCAAGTATAAGGAGCATGTGGATGGAATGCAAGAGTGTGTATCAGTGGCTGTGTTGAAAGATAGTGAAATGTGATGTCTTATGTCTCACATCTTCTCTTGTGCTCCATTCCTTCAGTGGAACCTCTCACAAAAGCTGACAAAGATGACAGCAAAAACATGTTAAGGGAAAACTCAGACCCCATCCGTATCCTGGTTATGATGGAAAAGAATAATTGTGAAGTATTTCTGTCCGGATCCATGAAAAAATGTTGCTGCAATAAAAGCTCCCACCAATGTGTACATTTTGTACATTTCCTCTGAGTAAACTCTGCTGACATCTTTGTCACACTTCAGTACCGCTGGTCTTGTGACTCGCAGTTGCTTGACCTGAACCTGTAATCATGGAACAGCCAATTGCAAGCCAGAGAAGTATAACACTTGTCTGCTTATCTTTCTAGATCTCAATTCTTCCTTCCATCACATCTTGCATTGTTTTCATTTGATTCCCTCTCTGTTGCTTCCAACTGTCTTCCATTCCTTATTATGTTTTCATAGGTCTTCTGTCAAGTTTCTCTGTGAATATCCTTTGAACTCTTTCTCTGCTATATCTAGATTACTTTCCTGTAAAATTGTTAATAAGTATCATAATTGTGTTTTGGATTGAATGAGAATATTGCAGTAAGTTTGCTGTACATCTTGTTTGTGTCATATCTCAGAACAGTCGCACTCAAAATTATGTAGAGCATTGGCTTTTAACTCAATTCTTCCTCAGGCTTTTCAATGCAGTTGACTCTAACATAGTTACATGTACATACCATTTTGAAAAAGAAGTTTTTATGTCATTGAATATGGTGGCTTGCCATTACTCAATTACTACATGTATGTCCTGTTTTTTTAGTGCAACATTTGAGAAAAGCCTTCTGGAAATCCTCTTGAGATTGATTGTACAGATTCTATGGAGAAATCCACAGGAAGAGCTTGGAATTAATTCTGCTTACTACTGCATTGTACTGGTGTGGCCTAAGACATAATGGCTTTAGTACATTAACATTTGCTTTAAATGAAAATTGCATAGATGAATATTGCAGGTAATGTTTTATCTTCTATATTAAGATATATGAGTGTGTAAGACTTTTCTTTGTGGTTAGATAGTGTAATGTTGGTGTCTCAGATGTACAGCAATGGTGTCCATTGAGGATTCTTCATGTTGTACGTTTCTTCACAAAAACACTTTTTCATGGACCGTCCCCACCTTTCCTTTGCCTCAGCAGGAGATCGATGACCACGCCCTAGAGGAGGCCCTGCGCATTGCCAGGGAGGTGAACGGAGAAACACAGAAAGTGTCCGAGCAGGTCTTCAGTGATGACGGCACGGTCACTGTGACTGAGAGGTGAGCTGCAGTTTCTTATGTTTTAAGGTTTCTGATCTCATACAGGTAGTCTTAGTTATTCACTAGTGATTCTATAGTGATTTTTATTGTAAATGCAGTGAAGGATTATGTGGTCTATAGCTATATAGTGTGTGTGTTGAATCATAAAAGTTGCTGCACAATGATGGAAGCTACTGATTATGGGGAAAATGTGTTTGTGACCTGTGGTGCAGATGACAGACAGCTTAACCATGCATGGCTATATCTTTACCAAAGCAGCATCTATGCAAAGTCGATATTGTTCAAGTATCCACACACACTTTTTCTTACTTCGTGTTTTCCTTCTTCTCCTTGCATGCTGTAAGCTTTTATTTACCTTTGTGCTCACTTCTTTGTCATAATGTCTGGGTTGACTTCATTTTTGTCTGCAATCTATAACCACATGAATACTGTTGCAGTATACTAAGGAATCATAAACTTGATATAATTAAGAAGTGTATTGAATGGTATGAGCTGTTGCAAGGGCAAAGAGCACTCATACAGCAGATAGATTTCAACATGCAGTAATTGACACACAGTCATATGGCCATCTTTCTGATCTATCTGCTCATTATTCCAACCATTTTAACAAAACATGTATACACATTCATTCATTGTATGCTTACTACCTCCCTGAATGAAATGTGGCCCTTATTGCTCAGTAAATTTGCTATAATTTTGCAGACAGTATTCATGTGGCTTGTTTGGACTCTTTCCCCTGTAGTTAACGTCTGTACAATTGTGGCATATGCATTCTCCAACTGGCTGGTATTCCAAACAAAACCTCTCAGAGGAAAGTGAAATTGAGGCAACTCTTCCTTGTCATTGTAATCTTGAATGGTCTAAAGAACCAATACTTGCAGGAAGCATCAGTGGTGGACACAGAAACACTATCAATACATAGGGCTTTACATCTTTACATTCCCAACCCTGACAGCCAGCACCCTATCCTGTTAATTCAGGTGTCATGGCAGTACTACCTAACCGTATGTGGCGTGTTGTGCAGACTAACCTTAGTGCTAATCACTTATAATATTGTGCTAAAATTCGACCAAGGCCTGCTTCTGCCTACCAATCAATTAGAAAATCATTTGCATTGTATTTGGCTGAATAGTGTTGCAGTGTAAGCTGCAAGACTATTCTCAGCAACTCTGCACATGGCTGGCCTTGGTTGCACTATTGCTAGATGGATTCACTTGGAAGTTAAGAAAGTTGATATCAAAGTTACAACGTGTGCATGCCTTATGCATCATTTTTGTCCCTGCACATATTCATGTAGATTATTCTGAAAGATGTTATATTGTGACATGGTCCCACTATCACCTGTGATCCTGCCAAGATTACAATGCAAGGAAAGGTTTTCAAAATTTCTATATGCCACATTTTGTAAGACTATGCACTCTGATGTTTTTCTCCTTTTTGTTCTTCTGGCTGTTCTGAGTCGCTTCCTGCTTCTTCCTCCCCGTGTCCTAACTAACTATCAGAACCGTCCTGTAGCACACATCAAATTTGCTCGCAGCAGTACAGTGGTTAGTTTGTGGAGGAACCTTCAACCTCGGGTCATATTATAGTGGTTACAACCTCTAACAAAATACAGTGTTTGAGGGTATGTTCTGTTAGTAAGAATGTTTGTTGGCACACACATGCACACACACACGGATACACCACACATGCCAAACATCACAACTAAAAAACAACCTTAACCAGGAAGATGCCTCAACTGGTTAATAGCAAAAAGGCTAAAAAGGCACGTCAATGAGTACTGAAAAGGGAAATCACAAGCCTCGGAAATATTGGACTTGAGGAGGTACATCAAGGACTTCAAGAAATAAAAACTGAAGGTCAAAGCCTATGCAAGAGACCAAGGATCCCAGGGATACCTATACCAGCCCAGATGGAGAATGCATACGTATGCAGCATTGACATGCCAACAATCCTTTTCTTTCCCTTATTCTTTTTATTTCTTTCCTTTATTCTGTCCCGAATCTTCACTTAATATACCTACCCACAAACACAACCAAAACAGTACATCCAAAGATGAACTAGAAGATCAAATCCAATTAGAACGCCAGAGACAGCAAGAAGTGGAACAAGAATTGCACAAAGTTAAATCAGATGAACCTGAAGTTGCAAAAGAAGTCAAGGCCGAGGGAGAGGCAGAGACTAAGCCTGAAGAACCAGCCTCTCCAGTTGTAGAATTTCTGGAAGAAGTAGGAGAGTTCCTACAGCAGGTGAAGACAGCTATACCTGTGATGGTAGGCACTATGGAGGATGAAGGAGGCAAAGGTACCACTGAAGAGGTAGCTCCAGAACAAGTAATAGACGACAAAGACAAAACACATAAAAAGATAGCCAAGTCTGAAGAAAAACCTGAAGAAACACATGAAGAAAAAACGGCTGTAGAAGAAGCCACAAAAGCAGCAGGAGGGCTTTTAACACTGCTTGAAGCACCGAAAGCCCTAGGACATACGCTCAGCCCCGAGGAGACAGGTGTTATTCTCCTTGCTGCAGAGACAGCAGGACGTGCCCTAGTTGCCGATGAGGTTGTTGCCATTTTTGAAGCCTCAAAGGTTGCAGGAAGGCCATTGACCTCTGGTGAGTCAGCATCCATTGCTGAAGCGGCCAGTGTGACAGGGCAACCGCTTACACCTCATGAAACAATGTCCGTGCTACAAGCCACAAGTGTGTTGGGACGTCATCTGAAGCCTGACGAGGCAGCAACATTGATTGAAGCCACTAGAAAAATAGGCACTCCCCTGACTCCAGAGGAGACCTCAGCCCTACTTGATGGTGCAACTGTGGCGGAGGGGCCTCTAACTGTAGAGGAAATAGACAGTATCATTGATGCTGTGAAGGCATCAGGCCGACCACTTTCAATAGAACAGACTACAGCTGTTCTTGCCCTTGGGAGGCCTCTCACTGAAGAAGAGGCTGAAGCTATCACAGAAGCAACAAGCTGCACAGGAAGACCTCTATCACCTGATGAAATTGTATCTGTTCTTAATGCCACTAAGTTGACAGGAAAACCCCTTTCTAACAAAGCAGCTGCAGCAATCATGAAGGCCACAGAATTAGTTGGAAGACCAGTGACTGTGAATGAGGGAGCCTCTGTTGCTGCAGCTTCAAAAATCTCTAGTGATATTCCAAAACCAACAGAACTTGCCACTATCATCAATGCCTCAAGAGCAGCTGGTAGACCATTGGAGTCTGACGAGATTACATCACTGCTGGAAGCTGTGAAAGCCTCAGGAAAAGCTCTTCAGCCAAATGAGCTGACAGCTTTGCTGGAGGGGGTGAAAGCATTAGAAAGAGCCCTCACTCCTGAAGAAGTTTCCTCAATTCTGCAATGTGCTGCAACCAAAGGGGAACCATTATCCCCAAATGATATCCTTTCTGTATTGCAAGGCAGTAAGGCTGCTGGGAGGCCCCTTACTGCAGAGGAAAGTTCCATGCTCTTTGATGCAGCAACTGCTGCAGGAAGACCCTTAACACAAGAGGAAACAGCTAGTATACTTACAGCTACAGAGTCAGCTGGGAGACCTCTGGAACCAGAGGAGTCTGCTGCTCTTCTGCAGGCTGTGCAAGCTGCAGGGAGAAAGCTCTTTCCTGAAGAATGCTCTTCATTATTAGATGCAATCAAGGCAGCTGGACGACCGCTGACATCAGACGAAACATCATCCATCCTCACAGCTACTGGGTCTGGAAAACTGCTGGATGCCAATGGCATTTCCACAGTTCTTGAGGCAGCAAAGGCTTTAGGAAAGCCATTAACTGAAGATGAAGCAACATCACTAATCATTGCTACCAATAAATGTGGGAGACCATTGACAACTGATGAGATTAAAACCATATGTGATGCTACAAAAGCAGTTGAAAGATCTCTTACACCAGATGAAGCAACAGTTCTGCTAGAAGCACTAGAAGCATCTGATCATCCATTGACTGAAGAGGAAGTTGCCACTCTATTGGAAGGATTAAAGGTAGCTGAACGGCAACTGACCAAGGAAGAGCAGAACGCCCTTCTGGAAATAGCAAGAACTGCTGGTAAACGTCTATCGCAGGTTGAAACATCTGCCTTGTTGCAAGCCAGTAACTCACTTGGAAGGCCTTTGTCTGAAGGAGAGGCTGCTGCTGTATTGACAGCAATCCAGACAGCAGGTCGAGCACTTTCTACAACAGAAAGAGATACTGTTATTGAGGCAGCAAAGACCCTAGGGAGAGCATTGTCTCCAGATGAAACAACAGTCCTTTTGGATGTAGTCAAATCACTTGGCAGGACACTGACAGCTGAGGAAGCTGCAGCAATCATTGATGCAACAAAGGTAGCTGGGAAATGTCTGACTCCTGAAGAGGGAATAGCAATACTTGAGGCCTCCAAAGCATTAGGAAGACAGCTATCCCAAGATGAAATGAAGGCACTTTTGGAAGCAAGTCAAGCCTTGGGAAGACCACTCACAGCTGAAGAAGCATCTACAATTGTAGCAGCAGCAAATGTGTTTGGTAGGACTCCGTCACCAGAAGAAAGTGTAGCAATTGTTGAAGCTACAAAAGCAGCTGGAAGACCCCTAACATCAGATGACCTGGCTACAGTCCTAGAGGTTTCTCAGTCAATAGGCAGACAGTTAACACCAGAAGAGACCATGGTGCTCCTGAATGCAGCTGAAGCTGCCGGAAGGCCATTGACAGCTGATGAAAGAAAGTCTCTGTTTGATGCAAATCAAGCAATGGAGAGACCACTTACTGATGAGGAGGCTTCTACTATCATGGCAGCAGTAAAGGAACTTGACAGGTCACTCACTCCAGAAGAAAGCCTAGCAATCATTGAGGCTACGAAAGCAGCTGGAAGGCCCCTAACATCAGATGACCTGGCTACAGTCCTAGAGGTTTCTCAGTCACTCGGCAGACAGTTAACACCAGAAGAAACCATGGTGCTCCTAAGTGCAGCTGAAGCTGCAGGAAAGCCGCTGACAGCAGATGAAACA